AAGGAGCCATATTTGCATTTTTGATATTTGCCAATAAGCTAATCAAAGAAAACTTGCATATCATTTTTGCATCTCCATGTTTTTGGTAATAGGTTTTCAAGAAGCATTTGCTGAGCAAATGATTTCTACTTTACTAGCTTAAAATTGTAGATGGTCGTTTGAATTAAAGTGAAATAAATCTTACTCGCTAGTAAATTAGCATAAAAATTTCAATTTCCACATTTTAGGAAAAGAATAGTGATTAATGAAAAAGTTTTTTAAATAAGAACTTGAGACATGATCTTTAGTTCACGGTTTTTCCCTTGCAAAGAGTATGTCAGGATCCACGAGGCACGTTGAAGTCCCGGCCTCTGTCTCCCCAGTGGCTGCCGGAGGAGTGAAGCGGATCGTGGCAGGTTAGCTCCTGCGCCTGCCTGGAGCACAGCAGTAGGAAGGGGAGGGAACAAGCCTTAGGATGCCATGTTTGTAGGCGAGGCCTGCCCCCCGGAATTGTTTCTATTCTACCGTGGTTACTTCTAACTTTGAGGCCCCACAAGCCCTCTCTAGCTAGCACCTCTTCCTCCCCAAGTTGTCCCAGGTCCGCTGCCGGAATTAACTGTGCTCCTCCCGGCGGTGTCTCTCCTCCTCTGCTGCACTCCTTGTCCTCCCCTGTGGCCCTGTGCATCTCTGCTGCCAAATTCCAAATCGTGCCGTCCGCCTTTCCTTATTGAGCTCCTTGCTAACCTCCTTCCCAGCTCTCAAAACCATGAAACCTTTGTTTTGGCCTAACTCCATCTCCCCAACTCAGAATTTTAAGAGACAGACTACTTGACTATTCATTCAAGCCTGTCCGTTAATACTCTTTGCCTCCAGCCTGAAATTCATGTAATTTAGTCACACATGCCCCAGATCCTTAATATGCTATTTTTGTCTTGGGCAATGTTACAAATATTTTATTTGGGTGAAGCCTTTTATTCATCACGTTCCCCTAATGATTGGTAATGCTAACATTGCCTTTTTGAAAAGTTTTCTGGGTACAGTTTTCAGTATCTATAACTTATATTAGCAATTTTACATCATATCTTACTTTGATAATACAAAATATGTAGTTTTTGTTTTTCTAAAGCCAGAAATTAAAATCGTGCATAAACAATATTTAGAAATGTAGAAATACTGTCTCTTTCTGAAACTGAGGATCCTATATCAATAACATCACAACATAGTATTATTGCGTAGTAATCTGTTAGGATTTGCTGGAAAGCTAAACTGAGTCTTTAGCCCACAGAATGAACTAGGTGGGTTGATTAATTAGTAGTAATCTGTTAGGATTTGCTGGAAAGCTACACTGTGTCGTTAGCCCACAGAATGAACTAGGTGGGTTGATTAATTTCACTAATGTAATGAAAAGCCATGTTGGTCCTTGCATGGTCTTTTCATTTGTGTACTTCTTTTAATTTTTTTCTCATTACCAATACATTTTTGGGTGCATTCTGGAAAAACCAAAGTAGAAAAAAATGAGTATTTAAAAAACAAAGCCAGAAAAAATTAAAGCTCCTTTTAGCACTATGGTCACAGTATATCCTTTCAGATCTTTTGCTGAATGTATTTTTTCATCTAAAATCATAATCATTCTCAACATGTTTTTATTTTTCTTCATATCAGTCATACATCACCTTTTTAAATGAAATTTTAAAATTTCTTTTTTAATGAAGGTTTTGAATTTTCTCTTGTACTACCAGAAAGCCTGCAGGGTTTGAACTTGCCTGTTTCTCCCAATAATTGGATATATCCGTATTTGGAATGTATGCTAGCTGAAACTAAGCCACAAATACTTGCTTCTACCCCACCATCTTTTTATGTCTACAAATATGTGTTTATATTCTCATTTTCAAGCATGCATTCTATTTTTTTGATGAACATAGTTTATTTAAACTCCTCTACTGTTGGACATTTATAGGGTTTTTTCCCTTTTTACTTTTTTTTTTTTTTGCTATATAACCACTTGGGCAATAAATATAATTGCAGATTGCAGCTAATTTGTACACATTACCAAGTTTTTCCCTTAGGATAAGTCTTAAGGAGAATTGATAGGTTAAAGAACAGACATGTTTTTCAAAAAGCTGTTGATACTTATTACCAATTTCCCTTCAGAAACCTATCCCTGCCAGCCCCAGCAACAGTGCTGGAATTCACTGTATCACTGTCCTTTGCCAGCCTTCTTTTTTAAAGCAGTTGCTATTGAATGGAGTCTGTGCTTTCCTGACCACATTGAACATTCTAGAAGCTCAAGCACATTTATGAGCCCTAATACTACTAATTGTTTACAACTAAAGTATTTGATTTGTAGCTTACTGGCTGGCAACATTCTTTGCTTTTGTTTTAGATGATATCCAGTAGGATAAGAAAGAAACCAGTAGTGGAATCCTAACCCCAGCCCCCTAACACCTTGCTTGAGCCTAACTGCTCATAGACTCACTCCTGTTGATCCCTAAGTTTCAGGACAAGGAAAAATAACCTTTATCAAAGTTGTTAGGCTGAAGAGAGGTGCACATCCATGAAACCAAACTGTCACTGAAATATTTATCTGTTCATCTATAGATTGCTTTGTCTGTGTCCCAAGTAGCATTTTTCTTATTTGATTTTAGTTAGTCTTGTGGCCTTTATTATCCAACCGTAAAAATTAAAATGGAAAAACTGTAAGTACAAAAAGAAATATTCTGTGAGTTTATCTTTCACTTGCTGTGTAGGTAATTGCGGTGTTCTTTAGAAATGTGTGTTTTGGGTGAAAATTCCCATATACCTTGAGTATTGGGTTAGTCTGACTGTAGAACATGTTTTTGTTTTTAAAACCTTGTCTCAAACATTTCCTTTCTAAACTATGCCGTGCCTTTTCTGGTGGCAGCATACTGTGAAAATCAAATGGTAGATCATGGTGAATCCACAGAGTAAGTTACCTAGGGAGCAGAGTATTTCCTGGTTAAAGGGGCCTCAGGGACCAGCTGGTTCAGTGTGATGGTGGTGGTGATGCTATGGGCGTGGGAGAGAATGTAGCTCTCACTGTGTAGCTGGCATTCTGCTTAGTGGACTGCTTATGGTTTCTCACTTAACAGATGAGGAAACCAAGTTCCAGAAAGGTGAAACCATTCTCCTAAGATGGCATGGTGGATCGGGGAAGCCAAAGATCAAACCCAGGCTCCTGCCCCAGTGCAGTCTGCTCACCACCTTGCAATGCTGGTTGTATTGAACCACCTGGACATTTTAATCTCACAAGTTTTTAAACTTTTAATGACAAATATCAATTCTGTTGAGCTATTAAATATTTATATAGTGTTGAAGGGCTTTAACCTTTTTGTATCAATTGTTTATATTCCTTACTAATTGTTAATAATTCCCCCTTACTGACTTTTTGCTATAGACTATTATTTTTAAAAATAAAATATTCTTATTTTAAAAATTAAGAATCTAGGGCTCAGAGTGGAATAAAGAATTCTTCTATGAGTAGCACGCAGCAAGCCCATACCTGTTTGCCTCCAAAATTGTATTTTACTCTACTGTACTCTGTTGTTGATGAAAGAATAGCAAAATCAAACAAGCTTGAAAATTATTAGTTTAGGGCATTAGAGAAACACTGTTTCCTTCTCTTTCTTTGTATAGGCCTCATTTCTTCATGAAATGAATGTGAAAGATAAAATAGTGCACTTTGCTGTATCTTCTAAAATGTCACTTTGGGAGCCAGGCATGGTGGGACACTCACAACCTGAGCAATTTAGCAACACAGCAAGACCCTATCTCACAATAAAAAAGGGCTGGGGATACAGCCCAGGGGGAGGGCCTTGAGTTCAATCTCGAGTACGGAAACAAAAAATCACACCGGGATCTCCCCTTTCAAAGACTTGGAGACTAGGTATATAGACTGATAAAATTCACATGTTGTTCTACCCTTTCAAATATTTTTCTGGGGCCCAGGGTTGTAGCTCAGCAGTGCAGCACCTGCCCGGCAAATGTAAGGGGGCCCTGAGTTCATTTTCCGCTATCCAAAAAATTTTTTTTATGGAAGACCAAGATGATGACTTAGAAGAGTTCACTTCAATATGTCAATTCTAATTCTCATACTTTAAATGAAATACATGTATTTCTGTTTCTTGTTTTTTTATTTCTTTCTTTTGTTACTTTACATAGTAAACACTTCTGTTATCCGAACCAAATAGTAACTGAGCCAAAACTGATGATCTGTAAATGAGTTTTCCCACTCCTGCAAAACAGGCCACTTCTCCCACTCACTCGGGCTTCCAGATTTCTGGGTACCCCCGGAATCTGGGGAAACCCAGCACCCTTTCTTTCCTGACTGCCATTTGCAGCTCACAGGCCTGGAGACGCATCCTTGCTTTCTGACCACACTGTCTCAAAAACTGATGAGTTTTCTTTCAAATAAATACAAGAGGGAAATCTTTTTTCTTTATCTTTGGAAGATAAATTTAAATCAGTGATTAATTTTGTTTAAACTTGAATTTAACATGATAAATATCAGAAATTAAGTAAAATGAAATAACTTATTGTAATTCAAAGCTAATGAAAATACTAAGCCCTGCTAGAGAATTTAACCAGTGCTGGGCAAGCTGTGTCAGGTTCTGCATCAGATGAGAAAACTCGTTTTAAAAGGCCTCAGTAGCTGGATGCCTGATTTTGGACCACTTCCTGTAAACCGCCCCGTGCGTCTCCTTTCTCTTCGAAGGCGATGGGTACAGAGTCCGAGTCTGAGGGGCTCTGGGGCCGCTCTCCGCGGACTGCGCCTCCCGCAAGGGCGCCTGGGTCCGGCCTCTGCTGCCTCTGCTTTCCCGCGCTGCCTTCAGGTTCCCCAGGAATACAGCGGGGGCGGCCGTGGTTCTTGAGAAGTTCTAGAGTCTAGCTGCGTCTCACGGACGCTAACCTTCAGCCAGTCCCAGACGTGCCATCTAAAACGGCTTCTCTGTCTTTCCCTTTTCTACTCTGGGCCTCGCTTTTAACGATGCAACGCCTGACAGTGTCTTTACGTCCAAAATGCAAGGCAGACAAACGGGCGACCCGGGGAAGAGCGTGACCAGGAGCACCAGCGTGGGCGGCGACCTGTGCTCGCTGGACAAGAACGACGGCAGCCAGTCGGACACGGCGGTGGGCGCCCCGGGCACGGGCGGCCAGAAGCGGCGCTCCAGCATCGGGGCCAAGGTGGTCGCCATCGTGGGCCTCTCCCGGAAGAGTCGCAGCGCCTCCCAGCTCAGCCGGACGGGTAGGGCTCCCTCTGTTGCTCTGACCTCGCCTCCTCCAGGCTGGGCGCCTCCCTTTCTCTGCTCCTTTTCTTGCAGCGTGTCTGGAGGTAATGGGCCCTTCGAAAGCCTAACGATGGGGTTTTTTTTGCAGAGATTCTGGCCCGTCCCGAGCCGGCCCGTCCTTCTGCCCGGGAGTCCCGTGGGTCGGGCCTGTGCTCCTTGTGTGTCCGCACGCCTGCTTTTCCTTAGTTCCCTGGAGCCAGCCGGCCGGAGTCCCTCCCCAGCCCGGCGTGGAGAGGACGCCTGGGTGGGACTAATTCCCGGGGCCCTCACTGCTGGCAGCCTGACTTCTTTGCAGTCTGTCGGCGACACTGAGCAGCGTGTCGAGTGTTCACACTTTATTTCTCTGTTAGCACCCCAAGCAGCAGTCTCCACCATGGCAAGGAGGGGGTTCTGCTGATGGCGAAGATACTCAAAGCTTCGTTGCTTTACGATGCAGTTTCTAAATCACATCTGCGAAAATAAATTATATCCAACACTCCTACTCAGAAAAGCCACTGTTAGCAATTAAGAAATTTGTGAGTCAAAGCAATGTTTTTTTCCAAACGGGTGTTGATAATTAAACATTAAGTCCCTGGTATCTCACAAATAATAGCATATCTTCTAGTTAACAAACAAAAGAGTGTGATAGGGTGTTTCATAGCAAAATAAATTACAGGCAATTGGATTAAATATAATTTGTGTTTGAATACTGGGGTTCTTGTACAAAGAAGTCAAGATGTAGAGCTAAGCAACAAGTACTGTACACTAAATTTATTACCGGACCCGGCTAATCTTGGTTTTTCAAACTAGAAACTAGGTCTTATACAAGAATATTATATTTAAATAGTTATTTGATAATATTCTATTTTGGTTATAACTATATCATGATTTTTGTTATGGTCATTTTCCATTAGGTGTTGCAAAGTGTTATTTCTCACTGTAATGTACTAATAGAAGTTTAATTAATGGACCGTGGACATACAGACCATATTTAAATGATTTTTAAACTGCTCATTTTTATACGTAGTTAACTATGTTGTGCTAATCTGTTAGACATTGGCCTTATTTAACAGCTAGAGACTTTATTGTGTTTTCCTCTTTAAAACTTGCAAAATATCTTCATTTATAAAGCTGCTCAAAACATAAAGTCTGTAAATTTTTGAAAATAAGAATCTAAAGTGGATGTTGGTAAAACTTCAATTTGGAGGGGCAGTGGGGATGGGAGGGTTGGTCAGAGAGTGCTGGGCTACAGTCGGCGGGGCGAGGCTTTCCTGGGCAGGGACTGCAGGCGTCCCTGAGGCACTGAATGCTCACACAGTGGTAAGAAAGGTTCTGAAGGTTCTTACCACACAGAAATAATAAATGTTTGAGGAGACTGATATGCCTGACCTGATTAAGACATTACACAATGTGTACATGTAATGTGCACACAGTTCCCCGTTAATGTTTCTAATTTTTATGGTTTTATGTATAAATTAAAATTATTTTAAATTAAAAAATTAAAAGGAAGGGCCAGGGATGTGGCTCAGTGGCACCACACCTGCCTGGCAAGTGCAAGGTCCTGAGTTTAACCCCTGGTACTGCAAATAAATAAATAAATAAATAAAGACTACAAATTAGAGAATACATGGTGTTAAACTAGATAACTAATTCCATTTATTAAAGTTTTTGTTAAATATTGAAAACTTATCATGTACCAGATACATTGAAAACAAAGAGGAGTAAGAAATTATAATCTAGTGGGAAACAAATTGCTTTAAGATATTATGCCAGGGGTAAGGCTAGAATTATGAGAGTTAAAGTGATACTTAAAACTGTAAAAACTGCTGAAATTGGCCAAGAAGAGCACTATAGATAGAAGAGCATTAGACTCTGCTGAAGGCTGGCATTTTTGAATTGGGCAGAGGAAGAGCAGCCCCAGAAGGAGACCAAAAAGGGATGCTCGTGAAGAAAGGACAAACATATCTGTGAGGGGACAGTCACAGAAGAGTTCGAGATTTCTCAGTGCCCAATTTGATGTCTTTACAGCTTGGACGTAAATATCTGAGAGCTCTTTGTTTGGCAGTATTTTTATAACAAAATGGACTATGCACTGAGGTTCTGTGACAACACCGATGTGGTTTCTGTGCGTGAGTAGCTACAGATTTTCATCTTAAGGACATTGCAGTGTTGGCAGATTTAGGAAATATAGTCCTGTACCTTGTTATATAGCCTCTTCCTAGAGATTGCAAAGCAAAAAATCAGGCTTCTTTGTCACTGTCTTCATTATTATTCAGTGGCACCGTGATTAAATTTTAATCTTTCTTAAAATTTGCACTTATTGCTACCTTGTCACTTCATACCTCTGACAGCTGACAATAGAGCTGAGGTTAGGTCTCATCCCAGCGTTACTTGGAGCAGAGAATAGCAGCAGAGATTTTCCACAATTGCTGGACCCGTCTTTCAGAGCACTCCTAAACCCTGTACTGACATGCATGTGCGTGCTTCCAGTGAGGCTGTATATTTTGTTTGCTTATGAAAATGTAATCACAAGCACCAACCATGTTTAAAACTGGAATCTTCAAGTTTGAACTATTTGATAATCTAGTCAAAAGGTTTGGATATTAAATTATCTAAAGTAATGGACTAGTTTTATGATGCTGGCTGCTCTATTTAGACATAAATTTTTTGTTTGTTTGTTTTTGGTACCGGGAATCAAACTCGGGACCTTGCACTTGCGTAGCAGATGCTGGAACCACTGAGTTAAATCCCCAGCCCATTTAGACATAAATTTTAAGGTATATTCAGTAACTTACCTAAAACCAAGAATGCTATGTATATGTTCAGCTAGTATGTTTGCATTTTCAAAGATTCATTTAGTATTCTCTTGGTTTTTCTGGCTTCTCCATGGTGATCTGCATGCTAGTAAGTTAAAGATAAGTGATCAATTAAGTAAATAGTAATTTAATGAATAGAATATTTGAAAAATTTTGAAAGATGGTCATCATTACCCTACTATGGATTTCAAAATCATATAAGTCTACTTACCTGCCTTCTGAAGAACAGGAAACTCATCGAAATGGGATCTTCCTAACAAGTCGTGAGATGGTTCTGGGTGGAGCCATGTTTGTCACACAGGGCAGCGCAGCAGGTCCCCCTCCCGCAGCACTACTCTGAGCACTTCTGTGCTGTTCACGGCAGCCCGCCTTTAGGATCACCATTTCTGAGGAGTTCAGTGTGACTTGACAGACTTCATAATCTAGTAGAGAGCATAAAGAGAGACCTGGCTTCTGTCACCTGCTCTAGACTTTGTAACATATTAAATACGGCTGTTTTTAAAATCCACCCAGCAGATCTGAGTCCTGGTGTAGTCATCTGATAGCTGGCATTATCCCCTGCTCTCCTAGCAGGATTTTTATGAAGCTGATATTTGAAATGCTTAAGTGCTTTGAAAAAGTAAAACCACTTGATAGATATAAGACACCACCAGCCAACTTTGCTTCTTGAGGGAATCAAGAGTTTTGTTTCAGTCATGCTGGTTTTTTGAGACAGCTATTCAGGGTCAAAGCACTGTTGTTTTCTTGTGTAAATCAAGGCTGAGGATGCAATTTTGAAGTAATCACCAAGTAATTTTGAAAACCACGGACCTAGGTGATATTACTTAGGGCATCTTAAATCAAGAAGAAAATCAAAAGCCGAGCACGGTAGCACACACGTGTAATCCAAGCTACTTGGGAGGGAGGAGGATTGCAAAGTAGAGGCCAGCCTGGTCAGTTCAGCAAGATCCTGTTTCAAAACAATTGTTTGTTTGTTTGTTGCGACAGGGTCACACTGTATAGCCTTAGCTGGCCTGGAACTGTGTAGCCCAGGCTGGCCTTGAACTCACAGCTATCTTCCTGCTTCAGCCTCTCAAGTGCTGGGATTAAAAGCTTGCACCACCTTGCCTGGCTTCAAAATCAAATTTTGAAAAGGACTGGGGATATGGCTCAGTGGTAGAACACTTGCCTAGCATGCACGCAGCCCTGGGTTCAATCTCCAGTACAAGGAAAAAAGGAAGAAAGGGACAGAGGGAAAGCAGCAGGGAGGGAAGGAAGGAGGGAGGGAGGTTAAAGAGAGAGCCCTAGGATAATCCAACATTTATAGCTTAGGAAGAAGAATAAAGTTCATCAAAAAAGACTTAAGAACAACCACTAAAGGAAGCAACAACCAAAAATAGAATGGGTGTGTTATAAACCAAATAAAGATTATTTTTTCTTTATTATTATTTTTTATTAGTGTATGTTCACAGTACATAATGTATTGAGCACAGATACTGTGGGGAGTTGGTACATGCATGTAACGCACCTTGGTTCTCTTTTCTCTCTTTCTCTTTTTTGTTCCTCGCCCCTTACTTTTTTCCTGCCTCCTCTCTCCAGCCATTGGTCCCCTTCCCGTTTGCAAAAGCCCTTTTCATCATTCCCACCTCCTGTCCCTCTTCCCTACATCCCTTGTCCCCTCACACACTTGAAGAGGTCTTCCTATTTCCTCTTTTGTCTGTCTTGTTTTAAGCCAGAGAAAGAGAGAGAGAGCGGGGGGAGGGAGAGAGGGAGAGAGAGAGATTCTCATATGAGAGAAACCATGCAATATTTAAGCTTGTGTGTCTGGCTTATTTCACTCAACATTATGTTCTCCAGGTGCATCCATTTACCTGTGAGTGCCTCAAATTTATCTTTCTTTATGGCAGAGTAGTATTCTATTGTGTGTAAATACCACATTTTCTTTATCAGTTCATCTCATGATGGGTATGTAGGCTGTGTCCAGGATTTAGCTCTGATGAGTTGTGGTGCTGTCCACATGGGTGTGCATGGCTCACTGCACTGTGTGTCTGTAACTCCTCTGGGAAGACACCTAGAGGGGAATGGCTAGTCAGCATGATCCACTATGTCAAGGGCTTCTGGCAGGTCACGTGGGCTGGAAACTGTAAGCTTACAATTGGACTTGACAAGATGCAGGATTTGAT